CGTATTAATATATATATATATATATATATATATATATTATAAAGATAAACAAGTTCCCCTAAAAAAAATAGAGATAAACAAGTGGATATTAAAAACTAAGATGTCTATTATTTGTAGTTACAACTATGCATGCTCGATCTAGTATACCATGATATAAAAACCAGGCTTTCTATTTCCCTAACAAGGCTCCGAACAACATTACTAGTATGATTTCTAGGTCTCCTTTTAATTTTGATGCTCTCGGTATGGATATATAATAATATTTTAAAAAATCCTAAACAAACTAGCATGAATCATCAAATATACTCGCTATGAATTATTATTATTTTATTTGCCGGTCATATTAACTGTGAATAGATTATGCATATGTTTGGTAAGATATTTTAAGAATTGATTAATTTTTTTATTAACTTATAAGTGAATTTGATTAAAATAAATTTGTTTAATGTGAAAGTTTGAGTTTATTTTATGAACTTATAATTTATTTTCATATGCTATATTTTTTGGTATATTGATGAATAGAAATAAACAAAGAAAATTAAATGAAATTTAAACCAACTTCATGTAAAATGAAATTTGGAGTACTCATCTATTTAACAAACGTTAAATTAAATTAACTTTTCATCTGACTAATTTATGAATATCATTATTTTTTCTAAGAATACTTTCACAAAACACATGTAAATCACGAGCTAAAAACTCTCTAATATTAGTAATAATATATTCATATTCATGCCATGAACAATCATGTTGCGAGTATTTATGAATGGTAAAGATAACAATTACACAATTTAACTCATAAAGAAGAAATTTGAATTCCTCTTCCTAACATAAATGTAACTTTGCCTCGAAAGCAAGAAGTTTTGCATGTAAGGAGTCTCTATCTTTAAATGAGTTCGCAAATCCCCTTTTCATCATCCCTCACCATTCCATCAATTCCCATCACTTGAGAGTTTTCTAGCCAATTTCCAACAACATTCATAAGTTAATTGAAGTAATTTATAACTTATAAACCTTTAAATTTATTTCTCATTTTTTAAATATTTACTTGAAATTTTTTTACTCATTTTAATTTAAAAATTATTTTATCTATTTTATCATTCTCTCACTTTTATTATGAAAGTTATTTTATATTATTTTACACTTATTAACTAATCTTATCAAATATTTTTCAATTCAGTCAAATAATTTATAAATTTCTGAATTTTCAACTTTCAACTTATAATCAAACAGTTTATATAAATTTTTAACTAACTTATAAATTAATTTTATTAAACACATCTTATCGTTGAGCTTATATATGAGCATTTTTAAAGACCTCCAATCTGCCTAAAATTTGGGTCATAAAAAGGTCGCAGTCTATTTGGATTCAATAATAACAACAAGGTTAATATACGATATTTTACGTATTACTCTAACTTTTCACTATCAAAGGAAAAGTCAATAAAATTACAAATGTTTAATCTTCTTCATACTTTGCGTCTGTACTTTTTAAGTGAACCGCATTTAATAAAAGTTTACTTGAAATATAATCAACGGTCACCCTAAAAGAGATACTTGATCATGGCTTTTCCATTAATTATAGAACAACTTTTAGCAACAAATAAACAATTAAAGCACGTACATTCACAGTTTTATGCACTTTAATAACAATTTGACTACATTCGTATCAAGTTATATCCTGGATTATCGGTTCGCTCTCTTTCTATTGTTTTTGCTTGAAAATTCTCCCCAAGTCAAACACTTTGAGCAATATCTCAATTAGGGTAGGTGGATCCTCCTCTATCGTTGCCACACCATGTCAATTTTTCAACCCATAGTTGGGCACTAATACCTTTCCCATTTTCCTTTTGCCCACTCCAAAACCTACCAATGATTCGTGCATGTCTCATTGTCTCATTTTATATTGACTTTGTTGCCTCTCTGTGTCACCCAGTAATTTGCAACGTCCACATTTTTGCAAAACCAGAATATTCTCCGTTTGGTTTATGCACATATATACTTTGCATTTTGTTTAGAAAAGTCAAAACAAAGCAAAATATATATTCTGCTTTTACCGACCCACTTTAGCTTTTCTTCTACTCGTACAGTTGTTGTGCAGTACAAACTTCAAAGGTTTAAATGAATCTTTCCCAAACCACACAAGGCCAACTCAACTTATGTTTCTAAAAAAAAGGAAAAAATTAAGACTGAAAGATTTTAATATTATCAAATAAAAAAATCATAAAAAAATATATATATATATATATATAAGTGAAAAATAATATTTACCTTTAAGAGTCATTGATATCGGAAAATCTATTATACTTTTGAAACATCATTAGTGATTTAATTGCTGCATCTCTTTGTGAGTGATTAATTTTCGCTTCTTTAAATTCAAACCTACATCCTCACACTCTCCTCATCAATTTTCGGTTCTCTTTTGTTTTTCCTTATATGGATCATAACGATAAACATATAAGCAATCAATTTCAGATGATCATGATAGAGTATCTTGCAAGAAAGAGAAATGAAGAGATCTCTCATTGGGTCTATCAAAGCTGAAGCTGGACCACTGACTGATGAGGCAATTGTAGTGAAAAACACATCGCCAACAATGCGCCAATGTGATATTTGCGGCAAGATTTTGAATAGCGACAAGGCTTTGGGTGGCCACAAAATTAAGATACCACTTTCAAAAGCACCAAAAGAAGGTAAAAGTCTGTTTCACTAATCACTCAAAATCTAGCGATAGTAACAACAATAATAGAGCTAATTGAGATGGTGATGGCAAACACATTAATTTGTTGTATTTGCAAGAAGGAATTCCCTATCAAGAATGTCGTGTTTGGGCACATGAGATCTCACCCTGAGAGGT